TCCATCTCAGGTTCGGCACTTGTAGGACTTAATGATTTCAATTTTCTCTGTATATAGCTCTCTACTCTAATATCAGAAACTTGAGATAGTGAACAGCAGGAAGGACTTCCTGGAACAATCACCTAGAGGAGGTTGGTTTTTCTCTAAAGAGGCTTGGAGTGGTGAAAAGCTTGGTGCTAGTGTGTTCGTGCTGGCACTCTGGCCGAGGGTCTGAACGTACTGCCCCGGGGTTGACTACAATTGTGGCTCCATCTGACAGCATTGCAATCAACTCTTTGTTTCAGCGTATGGCTTCTGAGGTCTTGCTGCCACATACTGAAGTCCTGGGATTTGCCTGGCATTGTTAAATGAATGCTTTGGGTTCCAATTACTGAACTGTGCCAAAACAGGTTTTGGTTGAGCACAAGGATCATCTTCTAATATGGGATTTTAATGTGGTTTTAGGTTCTACAATACTATCCTGAGTTGTTCTGGCATGAGGTAGGACGTGCTACTACTATATAGTAAATATCAAGCTAGAGATTGGCCTGAATAATTAAGCAGGTGAGTATGTTGGCAAAATACTTTCTAACTAGATAAATAGTCTGATTGTTACTAGTTGAGTCTTTCAAGAACTCTTGTCATATAAGCAATGTTTTTTTCTTAGCTTTCCCATATCAGAAATGTTTTTTAGCTTTCCCCACTGACCAGAGTTAGTCAGCTTGTCTTGGGGTTTTTCTCAGATATACCCCTGCATTTACTTGTCATATTGCTAAACTTTGTTCTTACTGTCTTCTGTGTTGAGAGACAATTCTCCATGACTATCACAAATCACATATCTTGAGAATGAAGCATTGACTGCCTCTTTCATTAGACGATCTTTCAAAGATAATCCAAGGGTGTTTATTTCCCAAGAGAGATTATTATAATAATGACACCCAACTTGGGGATTATGTCTTCAAAATAGAAATCCTTCACTCTCATTTTGTAGCGTTTCAGAAAAGGAAAAAAATTAGATGAATCTTTTCAATCCATAATATTCTGCTGGATCCCATTTAGAATGAGTTAGCCTATGACCACATTTAGTTGCCAAGTCCTACCAATTCTAATTCTACTTTCTACACCAATGTCTTGAATCCTAGTACTACTATCCTTTTATATTAGCACTTGAAGGAAGAGATCCAGCCATTTAGTAGCTTTGTGACCTGGGACAAGTTCCTTAAGCTCTTCAATGAGCAGTCTCTTCTACTGTAAACAGAGGTAGTGATAGTTTCCATCTCACATTTTTTTGCAAGGGTTCAGTGATATGTGGACTATAGTTCAATGGCTTGAGTCGATTCTATGGTGGATAATGTGGTTCTCCTTCCTACTTAGACCCTTTCATCTGGAGACCACCTGACCTGACTAGACTTCACACTCCCCATCTAGCCCTCCTCAATATCTCGTCCACTTCAGAGAGGTATTCCTTCTTATTAAAAACCTCAGATGGCAGTCCTACCTTGCAGATAACATCTACAAGTCAAAATTCCTTTGAAATTGGCCATCAAGTTTAAGCCTTATGCCCTTTAACTCCTGTGACTATTTTGCCAATGTGTTTCTCTCCTGAAACACATATACATACATGTGTCTGAAGCTCTAGCCACAAAAACAAGCTTATCTTTACTGAAACCTAGCATGTTTTTCATGCATATGAGAATTCTACTTTCTCCTCCACGGAATGACTTCCCAATATTTCTACTCGTTGTTAAGGCCTGTTTCAAAAATTATTTCACAGAGCAGATCATTATAGCGGCCTTCAATGAATCACGTACACCTATGTCAAAGTGACACTGCCATTCTTATATGAGAAGACGGAGTTCATTTCTGGCTCCTCTTAAACCGGGGCTTGGCCTGTGACATCCTTTGATGGACATGACATTATGTGAATTCAGAAGCCCGAGACCATTAGGCTGTGGAAGAGCTGAGTCTACCTTATTGGAGGATATGAGGTGACATGGAGGGAAATTGAGACCACAGCTAAAAGTAAGAAAGAAGTAGAGAGTACTAAAGGTGTGAGGCCATTGTAGACCCTCCAGCCTCAGCTGAACCATCACATGACTATGGCCTCAGTCAGACCAGCAGAAGAACTGCCTGGACTGCCAGTTCATGGGATCATGATGATGAGAAATGAGAAATCACTGCAATTTTAAGCTATGATAGCATGTGGGAGATTGCCATGTAGAAATAGATAACTGAAATACTTTTCAGAAAAATGTTGCAGACATACCCATGAAAAAGTTACGATGTTTTTCCTGAGTTCAAACAGCACTATGTCCATTCTTCTATTTTAAAATGAAGCAAGTATCATTATGGGTCTACCTGTATATTTTTCTCTCACTAGATTAACAGATTAAAAAAATCAAAAATATTCTTGGATTCATGTGGATTTATACATTTGTTTATTTATTAAGTTTATTGGTACATAGATTAACAGCTTTTAAAGGGCAGATATCAAGTTTTTTGTTCATCTTCCTATTTCCTGTGATTACACTACTGCCTGGAACACGGAAACTACTGATGCTTATTACGAGGTCACGTACTACCAACTTCTGAAATCCTTTCACTTGACCCCTGAGGCTCATGGTCAGTAGTAAGAAACATAATTGGATATTTCCTTCATCATCTTGTTCTTCCCCAGTGGCCCTACTTCTCTGGGGCCCTCTTTGGTGACAGCTGTTTCCTGCTATGGCTTACATACTCTGGAGTTTGAAGGAAGATCAGTGACTTCCTTGTTTCTCATGGCTACATACAAACTATCTTCATTTCCTTCTTCTTGGAACCTTGAGACCATCAAGCTATGAGAAAGCTGAGTCTATCTAGTGGTGACTTAAAGTTTCTCCTTCTCTTTCTCCTGATCTCTTTATGTTGGGTATCCCAAGTTTTAGGACTATGTATTCTACTTATATTCATGGCTGCTGTGAGCTTATTTATCCCCTGGCTCTATATATCATATAGATGCCGATGCTTTATTTCCTCACCTCAGACATTCTTAAAAATTCAGATCTTCAAACAAAGTAAAAAAAAAAAAGTTCCGCTTTGATTTCCATGACATTAGGCTAAACCACTTATACTCCTTGTTGTGAAGGTCACTTCTCATTCCATAAAGAGTGTACCACAGACTAACAACCACCTTCTCTAATGCCCCTCTAGTAGTGATTTCAATATTTACGTGGATCAGTCTCATCTATTATAGACCCCGATGTGAGGCTGGAAAGAAGTGGAGCCTTTGGGCAGTAATTTGTGAGGGTGGTGCCTTCATGAATGGAAGTAGTGCCCTCTTGTAAGGGTTACCTAGTGCTCTTTTTCCTGTATGAGGACACAACTAGAAGTTGCTGTCTGCAACTGGGAAGAGGCCTCACCAGGATCTGTCTCTATTGACACCCTGACCTCGGACTTCTAGTCCCCAGAACCATGAGAAATAAATTTCTATTGTTTCTAAGCCACTCAATTTCTGGTGCTTGTTAGAGCAACCTAACCTAAGAAAATACTTGAGTTCGGTGATGGTATAGTGAGTTGTAGATACTTTAACCAAGTCGATTTACTTTTTAAGTTAACATATAGTAGCACTAATTCTCTGCGTGTTTACACTGTTTTATAAAATATGACCTACTTAGATGCATGTTATCACCATCGCCAGGATACAGAACATAAAACTCGTGCTATTCCTTGTCATCAAACTCTTCCCCTCTAATTTCCTATGTGGTAACCACTGATGTTTCTAGCACTAGACTTTTTTTTATGTCATATAAATAGAATCAGACAGAATGTGACCTTTTAGGACTGGTTTTGTCACTCAGGAAAATGACACTGAAATTAATCCAAGTTGCTGACGTATCAGTAGCTTACTCTTTTTTTCTGCTGAATATGGATAGAATTGAATGTATTTATTCATTTGCCCAGTGAAGGACATTTGACTTAATTCCAATTTGCAGAGATTCCAGATAAAGTTGCTACAAATACTTGCAAGTTGAGTGTTTGTGTGAGCATAATTTTCCAGTCTCTTAGGTAAAGGGATTGCTGGGTTATATGATAAGCATATGTTCAACTCTTGAAGAAACTGTCAAACCTTTTCCAAATTAGCAGTACCATTTTGCACTCCTATGAACAATATAAAAGAATTCAAATTCCTCCATATAATCAAGCCACTCAGGTCAATCTTTTTATTATTGCCATTTTAAAAGGAGAGTAGAAAGTGTCTTGTTTGGTTCTTAATTTTAGAAAGTAAATGGATGAAGTTTAAGAATGAGAGAATCATGTAACATTTTATTTTAATCTGCTTATTTGTTTGGACAGCAAAGGATAGATACCTATTTATTAAAACTATGAAGAAAAATAATGAATTTATTAGCACAAAAATAGGCAATGAAACAGGAAAGGGGAGTCAATCCACTAAGTATAAAAAGGTACTCTAAGATATTGATAATATGTTATTTATAAGGCCAGGTAGTTGGCACATATGATGTATTATATTATTATCATTGAAACTATACCTGTATGTTTAATATATTTCATAAAAATATGTTTGGGCACAAAACCACAAAAAAGAATGCTGAACAACATTTTAAAACTACTTTTTCAGAAGTCCAAATATAGTGATTTAGAGGTATTTTATAGAATTTGAATGGGTTTCTTAAAACATAAAACTTTCTTTAAAACCTGATTTCTATAATATTTCCATCTGATTTATATCCCATAACCATAAGTTACTACTGTGTTAGTTTATTAATGGTCTTATTCACTCCCAGCAGTCTCAACCACAGACACTTCAAGGGCTGGTACGGTCACACCATTCCTACTGCCTGGCAAAGAGGAGCTTCTCCCTAGAAACTCAGACCATGATGGGACTCGAGTCAAGAAATACACTGAATGTTTCTCTTTTCCTCTTCACAGATTCTGAGATAACCCCAGGGCACAATCTAGACTACAAAACTCTTCAATATCCTCTTCTGCTTGCTGCTGACCCTTTGTCAGAAAAACCTTACCTGTGACGACACTCGGGATTTTGGAGAGAAAACTCTTGACTGTTCTGATGGGGACACCCCCTGTCTTGTCGTCTTGCATCTTCGTAATGATGTCTTCAATCTGAAAGAGGTTAAAGAAAAGAAGTATTATTTTCTCACCTTAAATTCTGGGTACAGTGATGTCAGAGGGTGATATCAAAGAGCAGAAAGCAATGTTCTAGAAGAAAAATGTCCCAGTTTAGTAAGGTAAAGAGGGAGAGATACATTAGGATTTTTGATAGGCTCCAACAATGTGTATGTGAGAAATTCTTCCTCTTATGTAGATTGGGTTTATATATAGCTCGAACCATAGGAAATTGACTTATTTGAATGCTTCAGAAATGATAATTTTCTATGGTTTAATTTAAAATGCTAACATATACTGTTATGAAGTTCAGCCAGGGCTATATTTAAGACCAGAGAAAGAGCCAACCATTCATGCAGGAGAGGAAAAAGAAAAAAGACTATAAATGAAGACATAGAAAGCACTAATCTGGAGAATTTAGAGAACAGGTCTCAGTGGTTGTGAGACGTGGCATGGGTGTGGTCATCTGGAGCCAGGATGCTTCTAACCCTGAGACTGTTTTACCTCCCAATAAAGTTTTGAGAAAATCAGCCAAGCGGGGAAATCATTGTGTCTGGATATTTCTGGGTATCCCTGCAAAGTTCTGTGAGAGAGAAAGAATCCTATACTCCCAGGCAGTGAATGAGTAAGTGTTTCCTAGAAAGAGAGATCACCCTCTGAAGACTGTATTCTGTTAAATGACAGCACGAAGATACTAATTCACATTCACAGTAATGGCCTTGGCTAACACTTCATTGTTTCCTAAACTCAACCCAACAATTCATAGTAGTTTGAGTATTACTTGTCAATAGCTGAGGAGAGCTAGTCCTAGGAAAATGCTTATATTTTCAAAGTAACCTATGCTTTGATCTGGTGTATTATTTGAAACCAGATGCATCTGTTTTGTTGATGGTTTCAATGAAAGGGTAAGAAAATCATTGAGAATTGAAGAGAAACCAATAATTCAATTCTTTTAGACCTCTCAGTGGGCATTAGATGGTAATAATTTTCAGCCCCTGCTTCTGCGGGCTATATTTGAAGGATGGGTTGTGTGAAGGATTCTATGAGATTTCTTTCTTCTCTAAAAAGAGAAAGTTTAGTTGCCTCTTCACATGATTCAATCTTTTTTTTCCCCATTAAGTTTATTGCTACATTTAAAGCAAACAATACAGTTGCACTTATCATTGGGATCTTGTACTGTTACATGATATGTCTTTGTTCTTATTTTTCCCCTATACCCCTGTCCTCCCTTCACTCTTCTATATGATTACATCTTAAAAGTACATATTTACTTAAGAGGAAGCCCTTGTCTTCCTATATTGGCACATAATGTATCAAGGAGTGCATCCCTCACTAGGGACTGCAGCCAGAGCAAAAGGACAATCCCTCAATTGACCAGAAAGGTGATGGCACTCCAGGAATAGTGTACAGAATTACTGGTCCCCAATTCCTAAATACACCATAGCATTCCAGACATGGGATCCTTGCTCAGTGATGCCCTTCTGCCACGACGTTCTTGCCTGGGGGCCAGCTTACCATGGACCGAATCCACTGAAACTTGTGAGTCAAGTTAAACTTTTCCTCTTTTAAAGTGTGGATGTTGGGTATTGTGTCCCAGCAATGGGAAAGCTGGCTAGTACATTTGGCAAAGAGTCTACTCCTGACTTTTGGCTTGGCCATATGACTTGCCTGGCTGTTTGGATATTACTAAACTCAGTGTGAGTACATGTTTGCAATGTACCTGCATGGTTGTGCTTATCTTCTTCACTTGGTCCTTGCCTTTTTGCCATAAGAAGAATATGCCTCACAGAGTTGTTGTTCCAAGGAAGATGAAAATTATCTGGAGCAAATGGTACTGAGCCCATAGATCAGCCAAAACCTCAGCTAGGGACTCATGGTGAGGAACCAAAAGCTTACTGTTATTGTTCATTAAGTTTGGTGTGGTTTGCTCGACCGCAAAATTAAAATATAATAAGGCTCTGAAAATGCAGTTATCAAAAATTTCAATACTTGAAAGTCAGAATAAATAAATCTTAGAATTGATGTATCTTTGGATCCTACCCATTTTAAGAAAGAAATTCAATTTACACGATGTACCATCTACTTAAAAACTCTAGGGACTCTACTGGTTTAGGTTGCTTATTCCATGTGATATCAGACAAACTTTTGACATTTTTTGTTTGATTCCGGAGCATGGTCCATGCCAATACTGGCTAATAATGCTCTGGACACTTCTTGTTATGATTTCTGGAGAATCCCCAAAGGTTTATGAGTGGCTTTCACTCTACTTATTTAAAAAATGAGAAGCATTTTCAAACACCTGTTTCATGAATAGTATGATCTAGGTATTTTAAAAAAATTATCTAACTTATTCCTCAATCTTGAAATTTATTTAACAAAGATGTTGAAATTGAAGCTCAGAAAGGTTAAGTGACTTATTCAAGGTCACACAGCCAGTAAGTAGCAAAGCTAGGATTCCTACAGAAATCTGTCTGTCTGAATTGAACACACAATTATTTTTTGATCAGTTGTGAAGCTCATCTACTAATTTCTCAGGTCTTTAGAAAAACTTAGTTGCATGACTATGAGGTTTAGAAAAGGTGTCCAAGCCTGGAAAGTAATTACCAGAGGCAGGAATCCAGTAATTGGTCTTGAGCCTAGCTTATGCCTAGGAGTCTTACACCTTCCCATGCTGCATACCAAGATTAGTACTTTGTTTTCTGTGAGTCCCAGGATATTTTGCAGCAGAGCCTGGTATTGCCCCTTACATTATACAATACATTATATTGAGTAGAACAATATATCAAAGGAAAGTATCAGCGCCATCTAGTGGACTTTAAACTTATAAAAAATTTTACCTCTACTTTCTTGCTGAAAGTATACTTTACCTTTTTTTTTTTTTTTTTTTATAGGACAGTTCTTTATCCTCTATGGCCTTATTAGCTAGTTATAATCATGGAACAGAGACATTCAACACTTAACTCCCTTCTTAGATTTGAATACTTTTGCAGACACAAAAGGGCTCTACTTGGATTATCATTTTCTTAGGCAACATTTGTTGAGTATTTACTTTGGTGCAGGCACATTTCTAAAAGAGTTGCAGTACTTCATTTAATTCTCATGAGAGATAGATTATTATATTCACATTTTATAAATGAGGGAACTAAGATCCTTCTTAACCAATGTCTGCAAACATCCTTTTCGGATACAAGGCACTTAATCTCTTTTGCGTTTGCATGTAGTCCTAAAGTGGCAGAAGAAGATGCAGGGAAATCAGTTCAGACACCCAGATTCTTGGCTGTCTCAAGACTGACTGCTACTCAGTGCTGGCTGCAGTCCTGCGCCTCAAAGTTCTCTCTCTCGTCCTATGGGCTCAGCTGAATTTATTCTCCACTGCAAGAGCACAGCTCCAGGGTTGGGAGTGAGGACTGGGAAGGTATGTATCTGTATTTTCTTGACTGCTTAGTTCCATCTAACTTCTGATACCTTTTGTTCTTAGAGAAGAGCAAAATCAACTCCCTGACATACTTTACTATGAAGCTCTGAGACATCAGGAAGCGCGTTTTGACCTAAGTGCCACTGTGCCACTCAGTAAGCAGGTGGCCCTTATCTGACAGCCAAGTGAAGCAGAGAAATCACTTGGCCGGCTTGGCTGGTTCTGCCGGGATGAGTCACAGCAATCAGGATGCCCTTCTCCATGGAGCTTGGAGCTCAGCCCTGCTTCATGGGTAAAATTCTTCCAAACAGCAGGAAAATGGAGACCCTTATGCCACACAGTGAGTTTTTCTTTTAAACGAGAAAGGGTATTAAAAGGCATACACAATTCCCTGAAACTAGCCCAGAGTGAGAGGCAGGGATGAGGAGAAGCTATTCTCTGTTCTGAAGTGGAACCTGCACTGGAACTGTGGAAAGAAGACTGGACTGAGATCCAGAGAGACTTGCTGATCTCACCTTTGCTGACTTGCTGTGTTGACCTTGGACAGATGGCTTAACCTCTCTGGACTTCGTTTTCCTTATCTTTGCAGGGATGGGTGTGTTTGCTAGACTAAGATCTCTAGTTTGAAAATATGAGAGGCTTCTGTGACTTGACAAATGCAAAACTGTGCCTGCAAGTAATGACAAGGCAGGCCAGAAGCCACTAGACTTTCTTTCTCTATGTGCCCACCTTCTAGGCAGATCTATGCAGAGTGCTTCTCTGGGATAGGACATGCATGCTGGGGAGGGTGCTGACCAGTCCTGGGGAGTCTCTGATATTTCTAGAAACTATTTTGGACAGATGGCATCAGATACCACATAGAGACATGACCCAAAGCACCCGACTGTGTCTAGGCCTGCTCGTCTCTGCCTACATGGGTGGTGCTCCTACAGAAATGACAGACGGCCCATATTAGTATTGTTTGTACAAATTAATGATCCAATGAAATAATTTATTTAGCTTGTCCAGTGTTCCCTCCTCAGTAGAGGATTAAAAAACTTCAAGTATAGGCTAATTATGGTGTAATTATTAAAATAATCCATGCGACTTCAGCAAAGGAGGCACAGTGTGCCTCAGGCATGAAGGTCTTTTTATCGAATGTTTCATCTTGACTTTGTGATTGGTTGCCTATTTCTAGCTGCTAATGACTATCACTCCAGCTCCTGCATTTCATTAAAGATCCTTCTGTTCTGGTGTCTGCGAAAGAGGGAATGATTCTTTGGACACCATCTTATCAGCCCCAAGGCAGAAATCAGAGCTGGCCAATGATAATTGTATTTTTTAATCCAACATGTGCATGCTTCACTGAGCAGGCTCTGCCTCCTATCATCTTCTGGAATACCAGGCATGTCTCTTTCTCATTTTTAAAAACATAACACACTGTTATTCTCAACAGTATCCTGTTCACTCAGTGAACATGTATTGAGCAACTAAAAAGTGAATTGTCCTGTGTTAGTTAAAGCAGATGAAAGTATCTGTTGTCCTTCAGCATGGACAAAGATGGTTCTGCATTATCCAGGGACCTAGGATCATTGCTAAAGAT